GGTCATTAGTCACTTTATCTAGTTCTGTTGTAACCAAACAATTGTTAAACAAACTGCTGTAAGTTGACCACTACCTGTAATGGGGAATAATCATGCAATTTATATAACATAAGATCCTAGATTTTTTTTTAAAGAGCATGTCAACATTAGTTGGCATTTAATGAGTGCAACTCAATTTGTCAGAAATTTATACATATTTTTAAAAGAGCAAATTTAGTTGAATGTTTAGAATATCATTCTTTTCTTTATCAGAAGACAGTCCCCTATTTGTTCTATATCTATCCTAATGGTAAGTCAAAGATGATTTTTTCCCTAAAAGGTACACTATTTCAACTACGGAGTTGTCAGAAACTGAGATGGATGTGCTTATGATGTGGAAACAGAGATTGCATATGAGATAGTTATTAATTCTTCGAAATCCATAAAGAAATGATTGTCCCAATGAGCTGTTTTCAATATCAAACATCTTTGTTCAAAACGTTAAACAGCTAACATGACTTTAATGTGCAGACTGGGATTTCTGGTTCATTGCAACCTGGCAATATTTTGTTAGATTTGAAACTGAAAAGTGACTTTATTATTTTGGTTGGAAGACCTTGTTAAATGTGTGCATTTTAAGATGCTGTTGCTAATGTCAGTGTGATATATCAATAGTAATTGATAGCAGTTCGCCTTTATTTTTTTTAAAAAGGAAATGCCATGCTATAATTTATAATCAAAAGGAGAAAATACCTTGCGTCATCATAATGAACCTTTCTGGAGTCACAGCATTAAGATATAGCAACTTTGGTGAAGAGGAAATATATTTGATAATATTTTTGATGGGCCCGTTGTAATTGAGACTTACAGTTAACAACCTGTAGTTCCCATATGTAGTTCTTTCATTGTGACATCTTCCTGTACAGTATATATGTGTTATAGGGTAGTCCTATGATAAGATCCAGTGGAACTTTAATGTGGCTTTCAATAAATTTCATGTGGCTATATTAGAAGTTACGGGTTCATTACTGCTTTATAAATAAGATGATAAAAATTGCTAATCCACAGAAAAGATTTTCAGAAACACCTCCCCATGCATCTGATGAAGGGGACCGTGATCTACCAAAGCTTAAACAATATACAATAATGATTGGATTGTTGCAAGAGACTTCATTGTTTTTGCTGCAAAAGGATTAACAAAGCGAGGCCTCTGCATTATTTCTTTGCTAGTTAGCTTGCTGACTTCATTCCTAAATGCAGAACAAGGAAGTGATGGAGCATTGTATCACATATTTCACTGGCTTGCTGATTCCATTTCTTGTACTTCCCAATGGCTACTAGGCCAGCTCTTAAATACAAGGCTACAAAGCAAAACAAAAGAAAATCATTGCAATCGGAGACATTTCCCATATTCAGATTACTGTATAAAACAAATCATTTGGCTGCTCACATTTTTCAACAATGATTTTTGAACATGTCAAGTCACTAGACTGCTGATTAAATTAAATGTAGCATTGATAAGACTGTTGTCTGTGATCAGTGGAGACGCAATCCTTGACATGATTCTGGTTGCAGTTTTGCAATCTTTCAAACATTAGTCATAACTAAACCATTTATTTCATTAAGTCTTTGTTAGCTCATCCTTGATTGCATTCAGAGTAGACAAGTTTTCCTTTGTTAATTTTTGACTAAAATGTTTAAAAGCAATCCCTTTGGAAAAATATAAATCTGTAATGCATTTTTTTTCTATTTTTCCATGTGGGAGTTTTGTATAGATATTTCTATTTATCACTATCTTGGGCATTTTACTTCTAGATTAAAAAAAGAGGAATCTACTGTTGGCAAAAATTTTCATAAAAAATTGAGCAATTAGAATAATGTTTTTATTAAAAAATACACAGTAGTACCAAAGTAAAGCAAAGCAATAGCAGAGTGACTGAAGAATTGTCAGAACAGAGCCTACTTTTCAGGTCTGACAAACAATATTTCATCACCCTTGGTTTATCTACTTTTTGTTTTCCTTCAGCTGGCTATTTATATGACTTAGTTTCTCAGAAGGGAAGTGGGCAGAGACATTAAATTCTATATTCAGCAATAGAGAAATCTACATTTAAAACAAACCTCATTTTTTCAAATTGCAATTTTATAAATCTCTACATGGTTCTCATAGATGAAAGACTGATGATTTGAGAATGGACAGTTGATGTTTATGGGGTTTTTTTTAGTCTTGCTGCTGTATTATAGCCATTATTAAAGTGATGTCAACATCCCTTTTGGCCTCAATTTTTGTTTTTGTTTTGTTCTTACTTAGCACGAATGTTGTTTTCCCTTCGAGTCACTGGTGACTCTTTAGTGAATGCCTAGGCTCGACCCCACAGTTTTCTTGGCAAGGTTTTAGAAATGATTTGCAATGCATTGCATGCTTCCAAGGGCTGAGTAGATGTGACTGGCCCAAGGTTACACAGCTGTCTTTGTGCTCGCAATCTCCCAGTTTGTAACCTGATGCCGTAAACCACTACACCAAATTGGCCCTCAATTATTCCCTGACCCACTGAATCAATAGAAAATGGAAAGAATCAATAGCAATCATTTTGCTAAGCAGGAATATGCTAATAATGGAATATATCAGACTATGCAACCCAAGCTGGTATGTATGTATGTATGTATGTATGTATGTATGTATGTATGTATGTATGTAAGTATTCTCGTCTACCAGCCAGTCAGTCGGGTTATATATATGTATATCACTGCCTGGTGGAGGATAATAGCATGACTGCTAACTGACATCAGAATGACATTCAGAGAGACACATCAGCTCACCACCCTTTTGCATAATGCTTGAATAGAGACTATGTCCTTTATGCTGAAATTGGGAAATTACTAGGGACAAGGAAAAGGCTGTTTTTGTTCGTTTGTTCTTGCTTAGTTTATTGACTGTCTGGTTTAGCTAGCAAAGTACCTTTACCCTTTCTCTTTCCAGTTCAGATGAACACATTATATCAGGGCCAGTTAATCAGTAAACTTTTCCTGCAAATCCCACATAAGCCACATAAAATACTGCCAGAGATCAAATGAGGACATAGACTAAAGGCTTTGTACCTACCTCACAACTTTCCTTATAATGCAGCAGCTAAAAGCTGTTCGGTGCTTTTGAAAGAAGGGAAGAGCATACAGAGAAAATAGGCAGAAAGGTTTATATGGACACACCTCTTTTATTTCCTTGGCTTGGCTTTAAATATTAACTGTGATCATTTTGCTCTTTAAACATGGCAGGTTAAATATTTAGCACTTCTGTCTTTTAGATTATGTTCTTAAGTTTTGGTGGTATAGTCCTCAGTTGAAAGAAAGATCTTAATCACTTCTGTCTTTAACTGAAAGTGATGTTGGTAGCCCTCTCTTAAATTATAAAGTAATCTTTAAAAAAAAAAAGTCTAGATGAATGGCTATAGCAGTGGTGGCTAACCCTTTTGGGCTCATGCCAAAAATTGTGTGCGCACTTGCGCGCTCGTGCTCACATGCCAGCACCCAGAAGGCAATGCACGTGACCCCCTCATGCCCCCTGCGCATGCACGCGCAATCCCCCCCCCCACGCTCCTTTACCTGCACTGCGTCTCACAGCTGATTTTTCAGCCTCCCGGAGGCTTGAGGATAGCTTCTGCAGCCTTTGCAGACCAAATAATAGGCCCATTTCATCACTTCCGGTATTACAGAAAGTGATGAAACAGCTCTATTTTTTGGCCTGCAAAAGCTGCAGAAGCTATCCTCAAGCCTCTGGGAGGCTGAAAAAGGCCTCAAACCAGCTGAAAAATCAGCTGTGAGGTGCACGCATGTGCAGTGAGCTAAGTTTGCCTGCAGCTTGCGTGCCAGCATAAATGGGTCTGCATGCCACCTGTGGCACATGTGCCATAGGTTCGCCATCAGGGGGCTATAGTACAGGAGTGTAAATGTAGAAGATGCTCTGGAGCAGCATCGCCTAACCTCGGCAGCTTAAAGATGCGTGAATTTCAACTCCCCAAATTCCCTGGCTAACTAAGGAATTCTGGGAGTTGAAGTCCATGCGTCTTAAAGTTGTCAAGGTTAGGAAATCCTGATCTAGAGTGTTTTTAACCACGGTCCCTGTTAGATCTCTACACTGAAAGATATGGATTTGCCATTCTCTTTGTCCATGAGTATATTCAAAATTCTACAAAAAAAATAGTTTTGGAAGCTATAGTTAATAACTTCTGCAGTTTTGGTGACTGATCTGTAAGAATGAGAACTGAACCAAGCTCTCAGTTCCACCTCATTCAGAATGACAGCCATTGATATTTTGTTCATTTTAATGGCACAATTTTACAATGCAATTTCATTCTCTTTGGGTAGCCTTGATAATAATAGGACTGGTAACTGGCCATACATTATGGTGGACATATGAAATATGTATAGGTAGTCCTCGACTTATGACCACAGTTGAGTCCAAAATTTCCATTGCTAAGAAAATCATTGAGTGAATTTTCCCCAATTTTATGACCTTGCTTGGCAGAGTTGTTAAGGGAATCACTGCAGTTGTTAAGTTAGTAATACGGTTGTTAAGTGTTTCTGGCTTCCCCATCGACTTTGTCAGAAGGTCACAAAAGGGGATCACATGACCCCAGGACCCTGCAAATGTTATAAATGCACGCCAGTTGCCAAGCATCTGAGTTTTGATCATGTGACCACGGGGATGCTGTACCGTAAAACAACCATAAGGCAATTTTTTTCAGTGCCATTGTGACTTTGAATGGCCACTAAATGAATGTTTGTAAACTGAGGACTTTCTGTACCGATGTCCTTTACACCAGGGGTCTCCAACCTTAGCAACTTTTAAGACTTGTGGACTTCAGCTCCCAGAATTCCTCAGCTTAGCTGGCTGAGGAATTCTGGGAGTTGAAGTCTAGTCTCAAAGTTGCAAGGTTGGAGATCCTTGCTTTATGCAGATCTCAAACCAGGGTTATCCAACTATATGTGTATCATTATATATTTGTTTGTTTGTTTGTTTCCAGAGTGCAGCTGCAGCGCCAAGTCCAGTACTTGGAAACATTCCTCCAAATGATGGAATGCCAGGAGGACCCATTCCTCCCGGTTTCTTTCAGGTAAGGGTTAATTCTCCTGATTTTTTTATGTGATTCATCGGTACCTTTCTGTGGTGGTTTTGTTTGTTTTCTTCATCATCAGTTCACATCAGCTGTGTGTATGTGATAGAGCCTGTTTGTCTGGAAAGCAATATTAGTTTTTGTTTTTATTTTAGTTCCACGCATTACAAAGCTACTTTGGAATGAATGAGATGCATGTTGATCATGACAGGACTGTGTGTAATCCAGGATATGGAGTCTTATTTTTCCCTTTTGGTTAATCACTTGGCTGTTTTCCAACTACTGCCGCTGAATTCTTTTAGGCAAAATCTTCTTAAACTTTAGCCACAGGTAGAAGTTCATCCAGAGAAATAAAATATTACATAGCTGCTTTGGGGGGATTGAACTTATTCTTCTCTCCATCTTTTTTTCCTCATAATAAAGTTTGCTTTTAGCCACATGAAATTCTTGTTGTTAGATCCATGGGCAAAACCTGAGGTGACAGAGACCCAAGATGAAAACAACAAAAACAAGGATGGCCAAAACAGTTTTAAAGCAAATGCTGTTCTTAACATTCTTTTTTAAATTAAAAAATATTTTCCTGTCTTGGGTGCAGCTAACTTTTGTCATTCGAAAGGATCCATTGGACTGGGTTGGAGAGTTGACATTAATTTGCATGTTATAACTAGTTGGCTGTTATTTGCATAGGGACACTCAGAGAGTTCTCAGCAATTAATATATGGAAATCTGCTTTTGGAACTACTAGATGCCAGTGTTCTTGGACTTCAGTTCTTGAGGGAGAAGAATAAAGCAGTGGATTTTGAAATAATGGTGATAATGGTGATGACAATGATGATGCGGTGGGTTTTGAAAAGCATGGGATCTGAAAAAGTAACTTATGGACGTTTCTCACATTTATGACAGTTGCAACATGCCCATGGTTATTTGATCAAAATCTGAACACTTGGCAACTGGCATGTATTTGCTTCACTTAACAAATGTGGCAAGAAAAGTCATAAAATAGGGCAAAACTCACTTAACAAGTGTCTTGCTTAGCAACAACAATTTTGGGCTCAATTATGGTCCGGTCCATTAATCAAAGTCTGTCTGTATTATGCACACAATTAAGAGATGGGAAGGACTGTTTGAACAGGAATAGTATCATCTCTGTCATCATTAAGCACATTTAAAATCATAACGGTTGGAACTGTTATCATTTTAATAATTGGTAATATAAAGGACACGTGGCTGGTAAACTCTAGTAACCATTTTTATATTAGAAGAATTGCCAAGCCAGGTCTCCTTCACATAAATGATTAATGTTGGAAGCTGAAATTTTAATTTTACATATTTTTTTTGAGTTATGTAGAACAAAGTCTCAAATAATAGCTTGATCAATGTTACGAGGCCTACATTAGAATTATAAAATTCAGTGGCAATCTTAGGATGGTGCTGTAGATATGTCTTTTGGCTTTGTTATTTTAGGGAAATAAGTATTTTTACGAAAGTTTTACATGTGATGAAATGAAATCTATTGATTTTTTAGGATACCAAATAAAGCCCAGAGTGATTCTTTAAAATTGGTGGAAATAAAAGAAAGCTTTTCGCCTTTCCCCAATGAGTATTTCAGAAGTGGCTTATGTTTGTGAGCCAGTTGGATGGATAACATGTGCTGTTCTTGATACTGCTGAACTCTTAACACCCATTCATCATAGTATAGTCAATAGTGAAGGATGAGGGGTATTGCAGTCCAGCAGCATCCCAGATATTATCGCTTTCAAGTAATCCACTTAACAGCTTGTGTACTACAATTTAAACAGCAACTGAACTGGGGTAATTTCTATCTTTTTCCAGTTCAGTTTAGTAACAGTGCTTTTGTTAAAGATCTAGTGAGCACCTCATAGCACGTATCACATCTGTCTACCTGATCTTAAGGAAGAGAATTCCATACGGTTTGCATTGTAGACCAACTGCTTCCTTTTTTTCTGTTCTGAATCTCCCCTGTTCAGTTTCATTGCATAAACATGAGTACTTGAATTAATTCTTTCTGACCCCTCTATGTTCTTAGACTTTCCAAACTACATGTCTTAGGCTTTATGGGAAGGATGTGATTGAGTACATAAAAACCAAAGTGCAAATGTTTTATAAAAATGAACACCTTCCCATTTCACTTCCATCAATTCCATTTTGAAATTTGTATATCAGCAAGTGGCCGTGGGCTAAAAACTCTGGACCTTTAACACTACACTACAATTTAATCACAGTCTGTAATTTATCTAACTCTGTGATGCATTTCAGCCACAGTATATGTAGTACATATATAAATAGATGCCATCTGATAGAATGGAAAATTTAAGGAGAGCACATGAAGTTATGTGCCACTGAAAGTATACTTTCGGCTTGCATAATGTAGGTCTTTCTACTGATCGTGTCTGCTCTATAGGATTTGTCCTTCTCCTTGACAGCATGTGCTATTTACCTTCAAAAAATGAGGTCAGTCAGGAAGATGAGCTCCTCTGTGCCTAGATGTGCACAGAGGTAGGAACATAGCTCTTATGGAAATCCCAATAAGAGACTTTTTTCCACCATTCATTTTCTTGGGGATTTCTATCCAACCACTAGATGAGAAAAGGAACTGAGTGGGAGAAGAACATTAAGGGATGGAGTTTGTAAACAGAGCAGAGACCCAAATGTGCATAGTTCTATAAATGCTGACCTGTGATCATGACAGCAACATATATATATGTGTGTGTGTGTGTGTGTGTGTATGTTTATGTATAGGTATAGATATAGGTATATATATAGAGAGATATATGTGTGCGTGTGTGTATATATATACATATATATACACACATACATACATACATACAGGGGTGGGATTCTACCAGTTCGCACCTATTCACTAGAACCGGTTGTTAACGTTCTCCATTGAGTTGTTCTGAGCATCCAGAGAGTGGGAGGTGCTTAGTCTCTGCTCGGATAGGCTGGACTTAATTGTTAGGATGCTCTTACTTCTCCCTGGCTTCTCCCTAGCATCCCCCAGTTTTAGGCAGCTTATCCTTGGCCGGGGCAGGAACACTTTGAGGTTTGGATTTCTTTAGATTCTAAATTGCTCTCTTCTTAGCTCTGACTGCAATTAGAAGGGAAGCAGTCGGGTTAACATTCTAAGCAGTTCGGAGAACTGGTTGTTAGAAGAAATTACTGGCCTAATCCTGTAAGGAAGGCAGGAAGGAAACATTCTGGTGTTGCTTACAGAAACTGCCTCTCCGTTAACCCTTATTACATTCTTGGCAGGACTAGACTTCCTGTCTAGGGACTTCTCTGGATTTTTTTTTCCTCCTTTGCTGGTACTTTGCTTGTGTGGAGTGACCATTCAAAGTTACAATGGCACTGAAAAAAGTGACTTATGACCATTTTTCACACTTACGACTGTTACAGCATCCCCGCATTCATGAGAGGCCAGGTGAGGAGATGCATGCCTCGATGTGAATGATATTGAGTTGGCCATGCCCAGCCAATAACATGACCACCAAGCCATGTCCAGCAACTTAGCCATGCCCACCGAACTGGTTGTTAAAAAATTTGAATCCCACCCCTGCTTACATACACACACACACACACACACACACATGCACACACACACCATCTTGATGTAATCTTGGCACACTTGGTCACCAGTCCTATTATAGCACACTCGCAGCCATGCAGAAAAAAAAATCCTCAGAACTTCAACGCCAATGCTTCTCCTGTCTTAAGAAAGAATCCTGTTTGAGATTGTTTCATTATGATAAAGGGAAGTAAAAGCTCAGCTCACAGTGTCTTTGCCAGGGTCAAGCAGGTCTGTAGACCGATGACAAAAATACAGATGTAAATGGCCTGTTGCTGTCTTAAGCAATTTCCAAGCCAAAAAAAACCCCACAAGAATGTGAAAACCCTTTTTAAAAAAGTCACAAGAATGTATATACGGAGAGAGAGAGAGGGAGGGAGGGAGAAGAGGGGGGAGGGAAAAGAAAGAGAGAGAGAAAACGAGAACTGCTACATTGGTGTCCATAGCTGCTAGTCAAACCCAGAATGCCTAAGATGCTGATTTGCCCAGTATTCCAAAATCATCAGTACAGGAGTGATGCTTGTTTGAGTGGTTTGAAACCTCAAGGCAAGGCGCCAGCATCCTCACCCATGACTTAGACACTCTTTTGCAGGCTGAACTTTCTCCTTCCTGCCAGATAGAGGAGGAGAGGGTGGTAAAGGAGTAACCTGGCCACTTTAGTTATCAACTGCCCTTGCTTACCTTTCACATTTTCCCAGAAGGGCAGGACTTTTGCTACCAGATGGTTGGCTCTGCCTTCTCCAGTGGAGGTCACTTCAGGAGCTCTGTCAGCAGCTCTGCCAGGCCCTGACAAAATACTAGCCACAAACACCAGGCCCCCTTCCCTTGCAACTGCACTGCCTACATCTCTGTATAGGCTTAACTTTAGAAAAAGACCTGGGCACATCAGTATGCATCCGGTTGTGTGCCTGTGGCCCAACATTTCTTGTTTGTGCATTTTCCCACTGAATTTTGAACTTGTGTGTAGCATTTAAAAAAAAACCTTTCTGATGAAATGGAAAGTTGAACATAAATCAATGTCTGTTGCTGTGTTAGCTATGCATCAGCAGTTAGTGAGATGCACCATAACAAAGGCGTAGCAAGTTTGTGTTCCTGCACTGCCCCCTAATGCACTGAAATCTTAGGAGTGAACAGACAATAGTGTTCCTAAGCGCTTTTGCGTTGGGGGTGGGTGAGTTGCATTTATTTACTGCATTTATTTATTGGTTTATAGTCTTATTGGTAAAGGAAGCAGAATTAAAATTATCAAAAGGAAAGAAAACTAAGGGCTTTTTACCAATTACAGAAGATTGATAAGCATAGGTAAGTTCTGTTGGAGAGATTACATTTTTCAGGTACATTCGAAGTGTATAGTTGTGTCTCATCATGAGAATCTGCCTTAAATTGGGTTTTCTACCATACACCAACATTTACC